GAGTCATGAGTATAAAGTCTATTTCTCCGTTAGCCTCCGGAATCGAAGTTCGAAATTGGACCTTTGGTAAAAAAATATTTTTAATTACTGTATGTAAACAACTAAAAAGTAAAAATATGGGCGTGGCCCGCCTTTTGCTTTTATTTAAACGGTATATAACTTTTTTTTTGTGCAAACTTATTTACAGGTGCTATAAGGGGTCTAAGGTCAGATCTTGGAAAAATTAAAAACCTGATATTTCAAAAATTTTCAACTTATTCCTATTTCGAACTTTAAATGCCCATATCTGGATTTCGGAGGCTAACTTTGAAAATCGGAGAAATTAATTTTTTACTTATCACTCAATCTTTTGAAAAAAATGGTTTGGTCCAATACCCAGAAAAAAGTTGATTTTGCCGTATAGTGTTTTTATTTAATTTGTTCGAAACTATCAGATCTATCAAAAAGTGATGTGTGTATATACTTATACGGTCTATGAAGAATTTTGTTAGCTTTCGTTGCCGTATTTCACATTAAGATTGTTATATTGGTTCGTGAGATATACGCATGGGGCATTAACCAAAGAAATGGAGCCTATCATCGCTCCTCAAGAAATACCACCATTCACCGCAGAAGAGCTCAAGTCTAACAATAATAGAGTAATGGCCAAGAAAGCACCAGGACCAGACGGCATTTCAGCAGAAGTTCTAAAAATAATCGCCACAGAACGCCCTCATGTGCTTCTAAACATGTACAATGCCTGCCTCAAGAACGGAATATTCCCAGAAATTTGGAAAAGGGAAAGTTCGTCTTAATTAGCAAAGGAAAGGGAAACCTTGACTCACCATCAGCGTATCGACCACTCTGTATGCTGGACACAGCTGGAAAACTCTTAGAAAGGCTGCTAAAACCTAGAATGGAAGCAGCTATCGCTAGCGGTGGCTGATTTTCCTCAAGACAGTACGGACTCAGGGCCGGTAGGTCAAAAATTGGAGATATAAAACACGTAACAACAACAGCAGAAGCCGCATACCAACACATATAGCTAGTCCTGCTTGCAACCTTAGACGTTCGCAACGCCTTCAACATCAAAAAATGGGAAAATATGATACACGCACTAGAAGAAGTCTTCAACATATCCACATACCCACGTACCTTAGACTCATGGTTAGAAGCTATGTAGAAGGCCGGGAGTTATTGTACGTCGGGAGCAGCACACGGCTCCATTCTTTGGCCAGAACTATGGAACGTCAGCTACGACGGAATATTAAACCTTGAAATGCCTGATGACACATATTTAGTAGGCTACGCTGATGACATTGCCGCAGTGATCACCGCACGAGACACCGAAGATGCCCGCCGAAAATTAAACAAGGCTATGATAAGAACACAGGCATGGCTCGACTCACACGGTCTTAAACTTGCCTGCTGCATATTCCCTTAGAAGTGAACATGAAAGTGACCGGTATTACATTAAAGACGCAAAGAGTAATAAAGTACTTAGGCGTAAGGCTAGACCCCAGGCTAACGTATTGGGCACAAATGCAGCACGCAGCCGCAACAGCAGCAAAGCCGAACGCAAGAAAATGTGGAAGCTTAAGGCGCAAACGAACCCAAGACACAATGAAAGGGAAAGAGTAAGAAACGATACACTAAGACTATGGCAATAAATATAGGTGGTAAAACGAAAAGACCCAAAACTGTGGACCAAAAGAGAACATGGCGAAGAAAACTTTTACGTCACACAAATGCTGTCTGGGTATGGTTACTTTCGCAAATACCTGTATAGAATGGGAAAGCCGAAGAGCCGTCATGCATATACAGCGACGCAGAAGAAGACGATGCTGAGCACACCTTTTTCAGAAGATGGGAGACAGAGCGCAATAATCTGCAAGACCTGGTAGGACTAATTAACCCAGACAACGCTATCCAAGCCATGCTACATAGCGAAGCTAACTGGAAGAACATAGCTAAATATGCAGAATACTTACTTAGAGTCAAGAAGCGGGAGCTAGACTAGGTGCACTGAGGGAACTTTAGTTAATGAGAAATATCGAACGCCACCGCGAAGCAATGCGATTAGTGATCCCAGGTTGGGCGACGGTTCCAGTTCGGGGGTAGTGTTTTATTCCCCGGACATACCATTATTATGACGACAGCTTTGATGATGCAATAGGCATTTTCGACCTCCTGCCCGCGAAAAAAAAGTTATACGTGATTAAGTGGAACACTTTTTGTTTTAAGATGAATAACGGTAAATTGAAAATATCCCGAAAACTTATCCATAGAATAAAAAATGAACTGGATTTTCGGAATCAGCGAGCAATACTATATACATAGACATTGAATAGTCGCATCCATTGAACAATTTTGCTGTAAACCAGTGTTATTAATATTAATTGTATTTGTATTATTTTTTAAATTCAATTCAATAGAATCAAAACGAATATTTCGAGTACAGTTTTTAACTTGAACGTGTTCTAAATAATATCACGTATTATACTTTTAAGTTTAGCGGATGTGGCTCCTACATAGCCTGCAAGTCAAGACGAAGTCGCTGAACTGAACCCCTTTTTTTGCGAAAAACCCATATGGTTGATTACTTTTCTTGAAATACGTAAATTGCCGGTTGACGTACAACAACTGGTCAAACGAGTTGTGGAAAACAATGAATAATAAGTTTTTCATCCCGAGAATATTCTACTCTCGATGATTACTGAGGCAGAGAGTAATGACGCGGTTTTATTCCGAGGTATTATAAAATTTTACAGTTACACGGAAGTGATCGAATAGGCTAAATTTGTCACTACTGAACCACAATGCTTGCAGTTGTACTTACAATCGCAAATACAAGAGTTACAGTACTCAAAGGACGTAATTCAACTTCCTGGTGAATAAATATTACAATATTGCAATTGCAATTGAATTGAATTGAATTGAATTGAATTGAATTGAATTGAGTTTATTATTATACATAGTTACATATACAGATATAAGTATACAATTATTTTCATTGCAGATTTCCTATGTCATTCACAAAATACTGATCGCTTTGTTGGAGTTATAAGCAAATCCTCTAACGCAGTTTATGACGTATTGGCTTTATATTTGTCAAGCTTAATATCCGAGAACGATACAGAAAACTTGAACCCCGAAAAAATTTAACTTAATTACATATTTACTTTTTACATGTGAAATATTACATTATTACCAGTACTTAGCCGTTCTTTAATGAAAATGGGCTAAAATTTGTCATGGAGATTATTTTTTGGACACGTAATTATGCGAATAGGTTGCCGTTTTCCGAAAACAATTGAACTTTTTTGTTTTACATGATAGAAAACAAGTTTACTTTTCTGAAATATCACTTAAGTGCTTTTTCGGCCCATACATCGTGATACGGTCTAATATATGTAGGCTGTTTTATTTAAGTTGTTCTTAAATCGTATAGATAGATTAATTAAGAGTTCAATTAAGATTAATAATTAATAAGGATACAAAGTATTTAAATGGCACTTCTTCAAATTAGATTAGCAAACTCTCGCCAACACGTCTTTTCGGTTTAATCGCCGTCGTTCAACTCTGCTCATCTTTTCGTCGTTTTTCATATCGTCTTCTCTCTTGCGTCTTCATCGTCTTCTGGTCGATACATGGCTGTTCACGTCTTCTTCTTATCCAATGAAATATTCACAATATATTCCGACATATGTATATATCGTTGTTTAAAGTTCAAAACCGCGTATCAACAAAATGCAAAACCGCGTATGTGAGGTTGCATAAATTATTTTCTAGACAGTGAAAGCACTCACATTTCAAAATGGTTCTCTTTTTTATAAAGCAATCGCATTTCTGGCTAGTATATTTCAGGACGAATGGATAAGGATTGAGCCAAGAGCTTGTGTGAGCAAATCCAATTTTTGGCAGCAAATGTCAGTTACGCGGTTTTGCACAATGACGATACGTGGTTTTGTACATTAAACGACGATATATATAGATATACATATATATGTATATATATTAGACTTTATCACCAAAAACAATTTGCGGTTTTTCCGCCGGGATTACAAAATTTATTATATTTTAAGACATCCACCAAAATATTTCGGAAAAATATTAAGGTTTAAGTGGGCTGGACCGATTTGAAAATACCTCAAAAAATAGAGTTTTTTATGAATAGAAATAGTTTCTTATAGAAATTTTTGAAAAAGTTCCCTCAGATGATAAAACAGATTATGCTTAAAAAATCTGTATAAAAATATTTAAAAATCTTTTCCACGGAATCGTAATAATAAGATTTTTGATGCTGTTTTTTTTTACCTTTTTCAAAGATTGATTTACGAAAATCTTGAATAACTGGGCCAAAACTATTCTGATTTAGACTTGAGGGATCTCATTAGAAAGGTATTTTGCCTCTGTTTTTATTTCTGTCAAAAAAAAAAGTCATTCGTGCCCAATTTTCTTTTTTTGAAATACCAGCACATCTTAATTCAACTTTGAATGATGTTCGTTCATCCTACTTTTCTCGTTCATCGTTTGAATGGGTTTATTGGCAAATAAATAAAAAATGTGAGAAAATACCTTTCCAATGACACCTTACAAGCCTAAATCGGGAGAGTCTGGCTTCAGTTATTCAACTTTTTCTTATACCAATCTCTGAAAAAAGTAAATAAAGCATCGAAAATCTGATTATTACGATCCGTTAAGATTTGTTTTTAATTTTTAAAAAATATTTTAATGCTTGTCATTTGAGGGGATTAAAAAAAAATCCTTATGAAACTATTTTTATTTATAAAAACTCCATTTTCCAGGAATTCCGTATTAGTTTCGATCTACACATTGTCTAACCTTAGCAAGCGGCTGGGGGCAAAAGTAAGCTTTCAAACTAGAGGGAGTATTACAAACCTTTTTTGCACTCGTCATACATACATGCGATTTTCGTATTTTCAATAAAATTTGTGCTACTTCTATTAATTAAAAAGTACAAAATACATATAATAGCAATGATAGCTTTTTCAACTTACATGTACGTCTCCATCATTTTTTTCGCTCACAACGGACGGTGACGGAGATATCGGTCGAGGTAGAGAATTTGCACGTGATGAGCCAACACTCTGGTTGAGTGTCTCTTGTGATATACCGCTGGAAATTGGTGCCAAAGTTCGATTTGAAATTTGATTAAAATGGTTAACCTTAGCATAGGTAGTAGCGATTTTGGTAATTTGTGCACTTGTCATAGACAAATCACTAACACCACCACCACAAATGCCATGCATTGCGCCACCAGCCTCACCACATCCCACACTGGGATGCAGCGCACCCCTGTTAACTGGATGGTGCATGCGATACTGTTGGTGTGCAGCACGTTGCATGTACTGTTGGTGTGTCTGACTGTTATGTTGTGGATGAGAAGGATGAATTTGTTGCAACCACACATGATTGTTACTATTATTGCCAATATTCAACAAATGGCTACTGTGGGGATGTTGTGGTTGGGAACGAGTTGGCTTATTTGGCGTTATCGTTCTCCTAAAGGAATTATGATACGCGCTACATTAATAAAATGCATTAAGTTTTTTTTTCACAAAGCAGGATGCCAAAAAATGTGTTATTGTATGTTGTGGTTTGCGTTGGTTTAATAGTGCATTGAATGCATCGCCAAAGATAATGCGCAAGCGTATCATGTGTAAATGGCATTGTAGGTATGTACATACATATATACGTGTTTGTATATATGTGAGTTTTTCGATTTGGTTTAAGAATAAACAAATTAAGTACGATTTGAAATCAAGCCAAATCGATAAACATTTTTTGGTTGGAAAATTGGCATTGCGTTTTATGTTTTCATCAATGTACATGTGTATGCACATATATGTATATATTTATGAGACATACGTAGCGAGATAACGATGGCAAGCGATGCGATGCGATTCATAGATATGTTATATTTTGTTATGATGCCGAATTCGATGAAATTGTGATGGGAAAGAAGAAAAATTTTATTTGATCCATAAGTCGAAAAAAATCCAAATTATTCGCGTGTATTTTTTTGTTTTAACGCCGTTCAAATTCATTAAAAATCGTATTTGTTTGGTTTTCATATTGTTTTTAGTTTTTTTGTGGCTCCAATTGCAGTTGAATGTGTTGCATATATACATATATACGTATGCATTCCATTAATCCGATTTAATTTTATTTTTTAATTCATTTGGATTTTTTATATATGTTTTTGATGCAAAAAAGAGGCATAAAGAAAAAAAATAGCGGATAGAAATTTAATAAAAGTTAAATACTTTCGGCATTCTATTAAGCAATGCTTCTACATATTTCTACATGTATAAAATTAGTACACTGCGCTTAACAAAAACACTGATAAATTTCACTTTACAAAATATATATGTTCAACGTTCGGTATTCGCTACTACCCCTTAATTTCACCTGTCCAGTTATCCCGACAGCTTAATTTTTAGCATAGGTTCTGTAATGGCGACAATTGGCAAAAGTAAAGATTCTATTTATTTGCGCCACTTTTATTTTTTTTTAATTTAATAAGAATATCTCTTTCTCTATGCTATGTTTTTTATTTCAACATATGCAGTAATAACGGGAAATTCTCTAATTTATTTGGACAATTTTGGTGCTTAATTTTTCAGTATTAGGGTCGGTTGTGGTTTTTGCAGCCGTTATTTTAAAAACGAACTTGGCAAAAACGCAACTTTAAACCTTGATCTTTGTTATAACTAGATATATACTTTTCAATGAAATTATGGGTTCGGTTATCGCAAAAATGCGACCGCTGTGGTTTTTAATCAGTCGCGAATATCGAGCGTGGGCTGTATTTAATTTTGTAATATGAAAACATGAACCAAGTCGAAACCACAAGTGTCTAAATATGTACAAATATATATATGTATGTAAATTAGATGAAAAGCTGCTTGGACGCGATACAAATTTTCGTCTTTGTGAGTCCTAAACGTAGCCAAAATAGGGCTTTATGCATAACTTATCGTTTGGTTTCGCAATAATCAATGCGGAGCTTTTGCGAATGCGAATGTTGTGCAAGAGCACCGACAAAACGTATATCTGGCAAACAAAATGACAAATTTTAGCTAATATTTTTTGCCTGGGGTCGTGAAAGTATTTGTGTAACAAAACTGGTCAAATGTCATATTTATCAACTTTGATAAAAATGTCTTTAAACATATATTTACCCTAATTGTTAAAACTGTCCCCCTACGTCTCCCTTCTTTGATATTTAAAGTCAAAGATTAAGCTCCTAGAATAGGGATTTCCAGCAGAAATGGTCAACGTCTGGCTATAAACAGAATCGATGCTCAAATAATTAAAACGCTATAGGTTTAATCTTTAATTAGGTAAGAGTTCGTAACTGTCTGAGACCCTCATCATCCGTGATTCCAATAATTCAAATGCATATTAAAAACAGGGTGCTTTTTTTAAATAACAATATTCTGATCCCATTCGGCTGGCAGCCACGACTTTGAAAACAGAATTTTGTTCAAAATTTTCATTCCTGGAAGATAATAATTTATTTTCCACATCCACCTATTTAGCTCGCTATAAGCACAAATTTTTCAAACCAGTCGCAAAAGAAAGTATTAAAAATGACTTACAAAAACAAAAATTTAAAAACGCTGGTGACGTTACATGTTCCCCAAATTCTGAAAGAGCCAAAGCCATGAGAATGAAGAAATCTTTTTAAAAAGCTTTAGACACCTGAGAGACCTGACACATCTGGTTTGGCTTGTAAGCGCTGTTAAAACAATGATCTCGCCATGATGCTTGATTCTTCAAGTGAAGATGAAAGTCAGGAGGATACATCCGACATTTTCAGCCCCGATGCAATTCCCATTTCTTTTTATTAAATATAATGTTCCAACTTTTTAATTCAAATACTAAATAAAATAAGCATTATGAAAAATTACTAACTCTTCTATTTTTTTATTTACCTAAATAACTAAATTTACTTACCTAATTGGTTGTTAAAAACTGTTAGACATCCGCATCAGCATTCGCATCCGCGGATGTCTAAAATTTCACATTCGCACCATCCCTAGTATGTATGTATGTTTGCTAGGGGCAAATATTGCAATCCATTTTTTACCAACTTCCCGATGACCCAGAGACTTGAAACTTAACAGTTGGCACAGAACCCGATGACAATGCAAATGAAAGATCAGCTTATCCGATAGGTGCCGCATGAGTCGAGATATTTGAAAACCCCGTATTTGTGGTCCGATTTGGTTTATATTTAAAACGTATACTAACTACATGAAAAGGAATAACTCCACTAAAAATTTTGAAGTATCAGTCCATATATTTTGTAAACCAGTATTTATGGTCCGATTTCGATCATAATAAGAAAGCTTGCTTTAAAAATATTTGTTTTTACTATTGACTTATTTTGATAGTGAAAACCAATCGAGAAGGGTATCGACAACGATATAAGATCACACACTCTAAAGCAGGCCCCCATACATCTCAACCAGCACGCATACATGAAGGCGGGTTCACGGACTCAGCTCTGTACACGTTAACAACGGAGATTGAAGGTGCCTTTGATTGTGGAAAAGTAGTGCTAGGCGCTTTCCTAGATATAGAGTGATCCTTCGACACATCAAACGTAGGTCTGTCGGGCACTAGAGAAACTGAAGGTGCAGCCAAATATATATAGGTTCGCTGAATCCAACAAGAATTGCTGAAACTGAAGTTGTGAACGTCGTGGTACAGTTACAAACAACAAAGAGATGCCCTCAATGGGGTGATAGTACACCACTTCTGTGGAGCTTGGCAGTGGACAAACTTGTACAAATCCTCTCGGATAACGGCATTCGCTCTCAGGGATAAGCAGATGACATAGTTATCATTGCTGTAGGGAAGTCCGAGAGTCAGTGCTCCATGGAGATTAAGTATCTCGGTGTGATCCTGAATTTTAAACATCTGTTGAAGTCTCACGTTGATGCGACCACATCCGAAACAACACGGGCACTGATTGTGTGCAGGCGCCTAGCAGGCAAGTCATGGGGATGTAGCCAAAAGACCCTGAGATGGATGAACACCATGATAGTCGGCCCAGTAATTACCAGAGATGGGTCTAAATCATTGCTTTATGAATTAAATTACTCTCAATTATAAATGACAAGAATTGTGATTAGTAATCAATTCCTTCAGTCCACAGGAAAGAAACTAACTACTTTTTCAATTCTTTAGAAGTAATTACATACTTATTTTTTTCTTTAGTTCCATTACAAGGAATTGCATAATATAATTGGAATTAATTACGTGCTCGTAATGTAATTTTTTTCCAATTCCTTTGAAAGGGATTGAGAATGTAATCATTTTTTTCAATTCAGTTGAAAGGAAAATAAAAACTTAAATTTTAACTTAAAAAGTATTCGGTAAAATTTTATAAACTATTTGTTGACTGTTGCAATAACTTTCCGCAATTTCTCAGTTGCTAACTGCTTTCAATAAAGAACTTATACCTAAGTAGTATCAGTAATTGGACTTTACGATAGCTGAAGAACTTAACCTGCAACTGTTGAGATTATAGGATAATCTTTAAATTTTCCGGATCATACTATGCACGTCGCGTACAAATAAGGAATTGAAAGGAGTAACCATTACCATTCCATTACCTGGAATTGCAAGAAAATTAATTACAAAAAAATATTACTAGAATGTTTTTAGTTTCAACTACAATATGCAAGAAAACAAATTGCACTTGAAATTACTTGTAAGGAACTGAAAAAGTTGACTGAAGGAATTGATTCCTAATTACAATTACTGAGGAATGTAATTGTAAAGGAATGGAATTTACCCAGCTCTGGTAATTACATGTGGGGCGTTGGCTTGGCTTCGGAACTATTTAGTTACGGTGCGAAAGTCTCCCACAAAACTTAACCATTTGGCATGTGTGTGTATCACGAGACCGATGCGTACGAAGGCAGCACTGAAGGTGATTATTAACTTCGAGCTACTGCATATTACCATTTAAAAGGCGCCAAGCGTACTCTCCTGAATTTCGCAAGAGATGGCTGCGGCAGAAAAAAAAGTTTTTTCGTCCAGGGACATGGAAAAGCTAGGGTCATAGCACCTTCTACCGCTGTTCCTCATAGATAGAATAAACAAGACAGAAGGATTTTCAAAACAGGGATCTTCAGCGAAACAGACTGGAACGAATATATTTTGGATGACACAGGCAAGAACTATGCAGTGCTACACAAATGGCTCAAGTCCTTAGAGACAGTTAGGCGGCACCCAAAGTACTCCTCTCTTTTGGGATCAAATATTCTATAGTCCTTGGGGGCACTCGGTGAGGTAGCGGACGGATTAGTGAGGGAAGGTGCAACCTCAAGGTCTCGAGTCATTCCCTACAGTATTCCCAAACACGGTTAGGGGACAGCTCAGAAAAAAAAACTATAGAAACGAATTGGCAAAGCACCGTTGGACTCCACCAAGCCAAAAGATTATTGGGCGGTACAACCAGAACAGGTATAGGCTTCATAATAACTTGCCTAAGCAGGAACTAA